TACATTATTACATGACATGTCACTTGTTAGACGCTTTTTATCCAAAGCGACTTACTTTGGTTGTTATGTAAACCTTTTGTTGTTATGTGAACCTTCACAGTACAGATCAAGTTTGCATTGATTATGGTCAGTAGTGCAGACTTTAAATCAATACGTTAACAAAACAATGAGGGAACATCGACAGATATTAATGCAGACCTGATTCTCACTGTGGCAGATTATGCAAGTTACAAGTCTGCTGATCTGATTCATTGTCATATTATTCAAACAATTATTAATAGTGACAATGAAGTTTTGGGTCTGTAAATAATCCCAACAAAAGAGGATAACAGATATCTACGATTGTCTGAAAGCAGCCAATTCAGAGGAAATCTTTGTATTAACAAAGTATCCTCTCAACTTGGATTATTTTGAATGTTTGTCACTTTGACAAAATGGCAAAATAAGTAATAGTAACAAAATAACATAGGAGTGAATATAACAACCCAAAGATATGTCTCTTTTAGACATTTGGTGCTTAACATACGTTTAAACATATGGTTTAACAGGACTTTGAAACACAGATAATGTTTGATCTACACATAGCTGCAGTGACATAGTTTGTCAAAGGGAATGACCAAAACATGTGTGAACAGCTGAAAAGAGAACCAAGATGTGAATGCTTTGTAGCTATAATGTTTTCTTGCACACTTTAATTACCTGTTCCTGTCATCCCTGAGGCAGTGTATTGCTGTGTGCGGGGGAAAGCAGTATAGGATGGAGAGGACATGGAAACGGATGGTTGCACACCAGTTTGCCTTTGGAGAGAAACACAAGAGAGGAATTGACTCTATCATTAATCAAAGTGAAAGCCTTAAAGTAAAGAGAGGAAGTGACTGTACTGCACTAACTACTAAAAGCACTGTCTACAGTATTTCCAGCACAGAGAGACAGAATACGTTTTTGCTTTACATTAAGTCGATCAGACAGATGGGAAAGCTGTGCTGTGCTTTTGTTATTAAAGTGGGAGCGAAGTGGAATCAATTTTTAAGAGACAGGATATTTAAAGGAATACAGTGAACTGCATCCATCAGAGTTTCTCTGAGGACAAGAAACATCCGTGCAAGAAATGTTGAACAACGCGTGGGTCTCCTGTTGTGGAGACATTTTAAGAAAATCCATATTGACTTCTTGGATGCACAATCCATGCAAATTAGACATGAGCATATTAGAAGAAACTATTGTGTGTCCTTCTGAAGAACAGTTGAACAGGAACTCATTCATAATGTATCTAACGTAAAGTGAGGTCAGTAACGGCACTGCGTAATGAATGCAAATAAAACTACTACCAAAAACGTGAATCAATAACGCAGCGCTAATATGCTTCATAAATGTAATGCAAGTTACTTAATGGTTTAGCGTCGTATAACAAACAACTATTAAGAATTAATCGGGAATTTAGAATTAACTAATCAAATGCATACAAAAATTACAAGCACAAATACATATTCACAATCTAAATCATAATCACTACACAAGGTAGATCTGTGGATTTATAAAATATCATAATTAGGAAGTCACCACAGAAAGTATTTGTGGATTTACAACTCTAAAAATGGCTGTAGCTAGTGGCCACAGTGGAATATGGTTCGCCGTATTAAAGTGGGCCATATGTTACTACCATGAGTGTAGAAATACTCTGTTACCAGTAAAAGTCCTGCATTCAAAATGTAACTCAAGTAAAAGTAGGAAAAGTATGAGCATCAGAATATACGTACTAGAGTACCAAAAGTAGAAGTTATCATTATGCAGATTGGCCCATTTGAGAATAATATATATTATGTTTTGATTATAATTATTGATGCATTAGTTTTAATTACTAGGGTAGCTTGTGAATGTTACTCCAGGTGTAACTAAAGTCTTATTTAAGAGGTGAATACAGTTAATTAATAAAAATCTGCAAAGTAACAAAAGGGAAAAAATCAATCTAGTGGAGTAAAAGTACACAATATACCTAGTAGAAGTACAAAGTAGCAAAAAATTGAAATACTTGAGTACACAACTCCCTCAAAATGGTATTAAAGTACAGTACTTGAGTAAATCTACTTAATTACTTTACACCACTGGGAAACAGAAATATACATCAGAAGCGGCAACAGCTGCCTCAACACGCCTCCATCTGCTGATTTCACAGAGAATCTGCAAATGGAAAATACATAGCTGTTTCGCTTTACACATTATGTAGTTAGCTACTTTCTTACGTTGGTGGACCTTACCTTTGAAACAGTAGCAGCATCGTTGTTGTTACAGGATGCTGTGTCGATGACGTTACCTGAATATGAGACGTTTAGGGAACACTGGTAAATTGTAACATCACGTACTACGCAAATTAAAAACATGATTTTATATTTTAGTTTAGTTTAAGTAAGTCCAATGTCTTCATATTTTTCAGTAATTTTTTTTAGGGATTTGGTTATTATGTTTTTCTCTGGGGCTCAGACAATTAAAATACACGGGTCAATTAAATATAGCTAGACTCAAACAAAAACTATTTACAAAATGCACACTTACTCACCATTCTGTATGTCATTGAAACACTCAGGGACAGCCGTGCACTGCAGTTGATGTTTAGCACACACAATGCTAACCTTTCTTTTGCACCAGTTTGTTTGAAATGATAGCACACGTTGTCCCCTTTTTAAATGTAGCTTGGCTGGGGTCCGTGTCTGCCTACCTCTCGCTGTAATTTTTTTTAAAATTTAGAAGTCACATTTAGCAAAATCGTTAAAGTTAATATCCAGGACGTGTGCGGCGCCGCCATGACGACTTGACGTTTACGTGAGCTACGTACGTAGTGACGTTCAAATTCAAGCGCAGATTTCCAATGTTAAAAGAACAATAATTAGACTACACACTGTACACAATGACTTGCATTTTTGTAATTTATTTCTTAACTCTAACTTAGTGCAGATTGATAGCTATTATTCTTCATATCTTACGGCCCGTCCACACACAGGCATGAAAAAAATATTTCAAAGCTTCGCCCATTCACTTGAATGGGGTGACGTAGAAGATTTTGAATCTTCGCCGAACTGCATTGTGGGGAGCGGAGCATGGCTTTGCAAGCATCGTGCATGTTCAACTTTTGATGCTCCCGATGCTTTCGAAGCTGGCATCAGCCAATCAAATCCCGTTTATGCAAATCCCGCCAGTACAAGCGCTAGCCAATCAAACCGCGTGCACGCTGGGAGAGCCAGACCGCAGTTCATTTCCTCATATAGCCTTAAGGTCCTAAGAGGCCAGAAGATAACTTGATGAAAAAAGCCTTGTTGTTTTAACCCCTAATTTAAGAAAAGATGGATAATAAATAGATAACAAGAAAGAATACTAGCCTTTATCAAAATGTCCTTTGGACAGGGACAATAACTGAGCATAGTAATAAAGGTCTCTTATCCAATACAGATTTAGACTTGGTTGAAATGTTTTTTGGAAGTTGTGGTTGTCTGCTGTGGCAGCAGGGATTCACTCAAACAGAGTCAGAGTTGTTGTCTGATTTAAGAGAAGATTCTCTTCCTTTCATCCATGGCTCTACCTTCATGCTGGGCGGAGAGGTCCAGCTGGCATGGCTCGTCATGCATTCATCTGAATACATTCCTCTGGCAAAGACAGCATGCAACACTCGACAATATGTTCAGCTGTGTTATCTCACCCACCCAGCAGTGAGTACACTATTACTAGAAAATTGGCCATTAGTTCTCACTGGAGCTGTGCGAACAACCTTGTTAAGTCTTGTTAGTCATACTCAATTTGCACATACTATTGAGATAGCTTTCCTACTTTTTCAGACATGGAACATGTCCAAGCATACATTCAGTGAAACATTTGTACCTAAACCACTCCTGGCACATTAGTCAAAATAATACACTGTGTCGATCGACACCTTTTCTTACTCCTTTTTCACAACTCTATTATGTTACCTTTGCTGTACTGTTTTCTTATTTTTCTGCTCTTTCTCCACACTGCTTTCATCACTCTCCTTTCATCTTCCTTCATTTTTCCTGCCAGACTTTCTTCTACGTTCAGTTTATTTGACCAAGACTTCCACCATCATCCCACGACTCTGTTTCTTAAACTGTCAGATCATTCCTATAAACTATCTGTCGTTTTGAGCCATTTATTTATAAGCAAAGAAAAATAAACGTAGAGTTTATTGAGATTGAGAGAGATTGGTGGAAGAGAAAAAAATGACTGGATGCATGAGAGAAAAGAAAGAGAAAGGGGGGGAAACATGGGAAAGCAGGAATGTAATGTAATGTAATGTAAGCATGGGATGAGAGCGATTATTAAAGCAGAGGTGAAGGAACAAGAGTAGTGGGATAGAGGGGAAAGCTGTCAACCTGTCAACCTATCAACCTTGAGAAAATATGAAAAAGAAAATAAACCATTCTGGACTTGCATCAAACAGAACTGGCAGCATTGAGAGATACAGACACACTGAAGACTTATTTAAAAATTAGAGACAGCCCCAAAAACAACAACTTTCACATGGCAGATTGTAACAGTATCTGGCTTTCATTATTTTGTGTCAGATGTTTTTCCCAACTGCATAACAGGAGGTATTTGTATTAGTTTACGATGTGAAAAAGTAACAGATGCACCAAAACATTTTAAGGATTGTAAACTCATGCCATCAGTTATGTATTTTTCTAAAAGGCCCAAGTGTTTGGCTTCTTTCTTTCCCAGTGATATGATCAGGAACAATTTCCCAGCTGACACATTTTAGGGCAACTAGACATTTGATAAAGAGGTCAGGCATGAGTTTAATATTGTGATAATACAGAACAAGTAAATTGTTTGTTGATAAAATCTGTATCCTCTAATATTATAAGCGTATACGATCTTATGACCATGCACCCGTTTGGCTCCTGGTGACCATATTGCTCATGGCATCATTAATTACCCATAAACAACAACCGCTATTATTTGCTTCACACATGAACACTTTGTTTTTTGGCTTCCAGGAATGGAAACGGACTGGGATGGGTTGGCCCTCTCCTCTCTGCTCGCAGCAGGAAGGAACAACTTCTCTTCCTCGTCTCTTCTTGTCTCTGAACTGAACTCCCTCAACAGTTCTCACAGCGGGGGATCCTTCTTCGGGATAGATCCTGAAAATGGTTCCACCACGACGCAGCACACGGAGCAGAAGAGGGACATGGGCCTGGCCCGGGCAGAGATAGCAGTGCTCGGGGTGGTGTTGGCCCTTACCACTCTGGGGAACAGCTTTGTGCTGTGGGTACTGCTGAGGAGGAGGAAGCATAATGCACCCATGCACGTGTTCATGTTCAACCTGTGTGTGGCTGACCTGGTGGTGGCCTTCTTTCAGGTCAGTTCACAGTTCAGTTACTTGCTACCATCACAGCATCCTCAAGTATGACTTTAGTCCAGGGGTTTCCGCCAAATGGGGGGTGGGCTTGAAGTGCACACATGTTAGGAAACAGAGCCAACGCAGAAACATTTAATTAAAATGTTCTATCTACAAAAGGAGTCCCTGCAGAAAAAGTGTGGGATGCACTGGCATAGTCAGTTTGTGAAAGCATTCATCATGTGAAAGTTGTCCAAATATTATTCTATCGTGATCTAAAAATTGACCAAAATGTCCCGAAATGATTATTAAATAACAAAAACATTTGAGAAAACAATAAAGGTCTGTGACAGAGAGGACAGGCTACACAGTCAATACTTGGTAGGATCAATTTGTCGTTAGTATTGGTTATGTCAACAGGCTTGTCCTTTAGTTTTATCTACATTTCTAAAGATTAAACAAGAAAAAAATGCTTTACTATTCTAGGAGCCAATTTTAAACAAGTGCATCTTTTTCAATCTGTCTCCAGGTTCTTCCCCAGCTCATTTGGGACATCACTGGGAAGTTTCAGGGGCCTGACTTTCTCTGCCGGTCCGTCAAGTACTTGCAGATTGTGGGCATGTTTGCTTCCTCTTACATGATAGTTGCCATGACGGTAGACCGGCACCAGGCCATCTGCTGTCCTTTGCAGGCCTACAGAGGGGGCACAATGTCCCGCTGGAACACCCCTGTCATGGTGGCCTGGGGCTTGGCGCTAGTCCTCAGCATACCACAGGTAGGGAGGGATGAACACGCGTGCAGACATATGGTGCAATAGGAAATGAGACCTTAGTGTGTGTTAACACCCTGATTTCTACAGTAGAACTGTTGGTCTATTTTTAGCTCCCATAGGTCATTAGAGTTCAGCTAATAACTGACAGTGATATCGGCGAGTGTGCTGACCACCCTCTTCTGTTTGGTCTGCCAGGCTTTCATCTTCTCTCGCACAGAAACTGATTCAGGAGAGTTTGATTGCTGGGGTCACTTTGCTGAGCCGTGGGGGCTGAAGGCCTACGTCACCTGGATGACCATATCTGTCTTCCTCCTGCCCGCCTTCATCATTACCATCTGTCAGGTAATAGTAGCCACTCAATATCTGCACCGCCCATTAAGACCAATGACAAGGAAACAAGCTGTGGGCAACACTTTCCAACAATTAAGTTTGTGGCATGAATGAAATGTTGTTTTGCTTTCATGGAGGGTGCATTTGGGTTAGGGTTAGGCATTGTTTGATTACCCGTGGGGGTCTTTGGTTGGTGTTATGTAGCATCCCATGGTGGATAGCGATCTGGGCTGCCTCCCATCAGCCCCACTGCTCTATTTAGAGAAAGATATTTCCAGGGACCAGCAATTTCCCCTAATTAACACAGCACTTTAAGGACCACTGCTGAGACTGCTGCTCAGAAAATCTGCTCACTCCGAGAACCTCCCGCCAGGAAGTGGAATGTACCAGATCTCGGCCAAACATAGAATCCGTGACCTTTTTTCATTATCAAATTTCAAATTGAGGGGCCTCTAGACACTTTTTCAGAAGTATGGTGTAGTGTCTGCAGAAGGAAGTAAATCTGAAAGTTTACAGTCTAAATCCTGCCCTTATATAGCTGTTTTTAATAGTAAAAGGGGGAAAAGGATCAGAGGTTCAATAGTATTTTAAAGAAAAAAGTAAACTAAGAATAGCTTATTTGATTCATCTTTTATTTGACTTCAAAATATTGTTTTAGTTGCTCAGGAGAGTGTTAAGATTTCTCTGCAATAAAATGTTATTGTAGCTTTTGTGATGCTAACAGACGGAAAGAGTAGTGGTATTGAATAATGTCTTGCTTTATTGCTGATTATATAGGACAACACATTACATTTCCTGCCACTATTACAACCAAGCTGCAAACAAGATTTAATCGTGAACGTCATAAAACTTAATTCTCAGTTAAGTCTGTAAATAAGGTAATGCCTTGTTTCACCCATATTCAACTTTGCTAATTCTTTAATACATTTTATTTTCAGATAAGAATCTTCAGAGAAATCCACAATAACATCTATCTGAAGTCAGAGAGAATTGTGATGGCTGAGTTAAAGAAGAAAGAAATCTTCTTCCGCTTCCACAGCTTTAAAAAGGATGACGAGCGGTCCAAGGATAGGGGGAGACGGCCGTCCGGAGGGGGGGGCAAGGATGGCAGAGGAGGACAACTCCTAAAGGGTGTGAATAACAACCCTCCCAATAACACCCATGACAGCCAAGCAGGAGAGTGTTATGACTTTGTACCATCGGCTGTCCAGTACAGTAGCAGTGGTGAACATGTGCCAACAACATCACCGACAGAGCAGCAAACATTGAGCGGCTCAGATTGCCAGGACTCGTACACGCCCTACGAGCTGGCCTCAGGCTCACCTCGCTGCTCCCTCGACTACGCACGCCCCCCCCTTCCAGCCACTCCACCTCATCACAGCATCACAAAAGCCATGTCAAAGACTGTGAGAATGACCCTGGTCATCGTGCTGGTCTATACTATCTGCTGGGCCCCTTACTTCATTGTCCAGCTTTGGGCGGCCTGGGACCCCCACCCTCCACAACATGGTCAGTCACTAACATGCTTTATGTTGCTGCCTATGAGAGTTTGCTGCAATATTGCAACTGTTATCTATGTATACAATTCAGTCTCAACAAACAACAAAAACAACCATCACCAGTGAATCACTTAAGATGTTTTTTTAAGATGGATTGATCCTCCTTAGTCCTTGTTATCCATTTAATTGGCCTAAATGTGCAACCCAATCCATTTTAAGCAGCCAAAAACAGAAGCTGATTTATAACAACAGCCTCTGATTAATGCTGTAGTCCATCTTTGAGAGTCTAAATGCTCACTTATTATTCCAAGGACAGCACGCTGCAGCTCGGATGTAGCAGTGAGTGAAGTTTAAGGTCAAAAACAATGTTTGTTTTGAACCACAAATAGAAACCTCTGGATGACGTCTATGGCCTCTGTGCATTATGGGCACACAAACAGCATCTGCTGATGTATTATCTGGCAGCCAGTGATGAAGCAAGTGTGTATAGTGCAGCATTAAGTTGTTGTTGCTAGTATGGACTGTGTGGGTGTCCTCTGATCCGAAGGTAAAGACAAACATAGGAGGCCAGTAAATAACCTGTTTATATCCCCTGCTGATTTTGCAACACAGCCAGATGTTGATAATTCATCAACATCATCTTTTCCAGCAGCTAACACATATTGTTGAAATCACAAGCAGACACACAGAGCGAGGCACGTGAGCTTTCACACGCACAAACACATACACAGAATCTCACTTGCATATGCATAGTGTACTCCAATGCACGTGCGCATACACATGAATGAGTCCTCACTGCCAGGCAGCACCTATGGTGCCACCACACAAACACACACACAAACAGCTGATTATTATCAGGTTTGTATTCTTGAATCAGTGTTTCCTGATCATACTTTAGTTATTAAAAAATATTTGTCATTGCCAGTGAGGAAACTGAAAAGGGAAGTATACAGGATTTGTTCCCTCTGGGATATTTATAGCTATTCCTGAAGGAAACAAAATGAGAAACAAGAATAATGAATGGTTTATATTCAAACTGAATGGTGTACATATTTCTGTTTGTTTCATAACAGAGAAGAGAACAATGATCATCTGTCTCAAGTATTCATGTATGAGATATCAGATTTAGACTTGTCTCTGTTATTGGATATGCACTTCTCTTATACTGTAGTGTGTGTGTGTTTGTGTCCTCAGCAGTGGCCTTCACTATCCTGATGCTGCTGGGGAATCTGAACTCGTGCACCAACCCGTGGATTTACACAGCTTTCTCCAGCAGCGTGTCCAGAGAGCTGCAAAACCTCCTGCAGTGCCAGACACGACCCGACCGCCGGGGCTCCCTGCCCGACGACTCCACCACCACACACACCTCCACCACCAAGGACAGCCTGTACTGACAAAGACTGATGAGGCAGAAATAGATACACAGAGACATGTTTCAAAAGACAACTAGGGTGCACAGAGGTCTGTTGCAGGGATGTGCTGCAGTGCACAGCCTGAGAACAGAGCACTGACCTCAACCAGATGTTTCCAACAACAAAGGACAGCTTCTGTCAACAGGACCTCTATCTTGTAATCACCGGTCCTCTCCACCACAACAGAGAGGAAGGGTGTCATTGAAGATGTCAACACCATTTTATGAGGGCACTGTGAAAGATACAGTGGCTGTCAGTGACAGCATCTGTTATGCAAAATGGCCTTGACAGTAAAGAGCGCTTTTACCTCGGCTGTGGTGGAGTAGGACCCTGTGCATTGATTTATACGAACCAAAATTGTTTCCCTTCTCAGTCAGAGCAGAGCAGTAGGAATGCAAGGGGTGGATCAGCGCATTAATGGTCTTGCGGCACGCCTAATGTACAAAGCAGCAGACAAAGCTGTGGGTGTAGAGAAAACAAAGCAGCAAACTGAGGGAATGAGATACACACACACACACATGCAGACAGTAAGAGAAAACGAGACGGCTGTTGGAGTGAGAACAGACAGGGGATGACATGGATGTTAGATCTACAGGAGCAGTCTGGAGAGGGCTGTAGTAAAAAATCTAATAATGTGAAGAAACTTTGATGAATCCAGGAATGTGGATTAGAGGTGGATGCTTGAGGCTGTATATTCAGGGGTGCACATCACTTTTTTGCCCTGGTTCTCAAAGGAGCACCTGGAGATGTTGCTTGGTGCTCATCCTTAAAATGAAATAAACCGTAACTTTTGAGGGGGTCTTGACTTTATTTGCCAGACACTAGGCACAGAACACACAGAGGTGAACACAAGACAACATTAGCACGACCAGTAATCCTACAAGCTGTCATCACTGTTCTCCTGACTGTTCTCCTCTCTGTCTTCCTCTCTGTCAGACATGGTAGCTGATGATGTAGGCCTACTTCTTTCTCTCTGGTTGAGTCTGCGATTAGATGCTTGCATCCACAAGTCAACAGCTGGGTTTGGGTCGAAAGTCTCTGTTGTCATCTTAGAAAAGTGGATGTAATCAAATAAGTATGTGAACATAACCAATAACCTACCATAGCCAATAACAAATTAATGTAACTTATTTTATTTGTGTTGTTCATTCATATCTTATTTTACCTTAACATTAATTTATTTATGCATTTTTTTTTTATCTCTCCAGTTTTAAAGGATATTTTTGGTTACTGTCCTATAGTATACATTGGAATGATTTAAAACCTGTTTATCCCAATAATTACAAAGGAGTGCCTTGGAAATATGTGTTTACATAAATTGTGACCAAACCGTTTGAATTTAGACTAAGAGTCCTTTACCTCACTGAGCTGTAGTTAACTTATCAGCCTCTCAGTCTGACTGGAGAGGACTCTCCCTCCACATTATTGTAGAAACATCTTCTTCTTATCTCCGTTAGAGCAGCCGTTGCAGCAGTTATGTGCAGCCCTGTGTATATTAATATCCACTAAGGATGAATCCTGTTCCAAGAAACAAGAGTGATTTGTTAGCAAGATGGACAGAGATTCACTCATGAGAAGTCAAGACACTGCCCCACGAGGAACTGGGATACCATATTAATGCAGACAGCAAAACACACACACACACACACACACACACACACACACACACACACACACACACACACACACACACACACACACACACACACACACACACACACACTAAAACATGAAGTGGCAGGATGAGGATTAAGCCTAGAATAATACAAATGATAAATCCAGGTTTCCGCAACCAACCGGGACACAATTATGTGATTGTATTTCGAAAACAGCATATGAGGTACATAACATTACCTTCCTGTCAAGCTCTCCTGAATGTAGGAAACAAAAACTTTAATCAGAAGACGCAGGAAGGAAAACAAACAGCATTCCATGCACAATGATGAACAATGTAACGTTTATTTGTTGAAAATGTAAGGCACATTAAATATGAATACATGTTGTATAAGGTCAATGTTGAATGTGAATTGTACTACTTGTAAAAGTCTGATGTGTGTATAGAGAAACATGGGGATGTCAAACCAAAGATTTTTTAAAGCTCGACTGTAGTTTGCAAGTCTTAAGAGTTATTAAGGCTTCAACATATTAGAGAGATTAGAGGGGAATAGGAGCTGCTGTCATTAAGAGCGCATGTCAGTTTAAGAAAAACTCCATGTCGACAGAGAAAATACTTCCAGTCAAACCAAGTGCCTGTAATGTCAGAGGGGCCTGAATGATCTCTGGATGATGTCAGCCTGTTATTCTTAGACGAAGCTACCACCAGAGCAGAATCATTGGTTATATCACACTACGAGCCATACGTTCTTTTATCCTTTTATTTATTTTTGTATAAATTAAAATATACAAACATATATATGTCAGTTAATGGTACTGCCTTATGTTCATGTACAGTTTTTACCTTTTTGTTTCTGTGTAAAGAGTAATGTATTGTGCGCCTCCACTGCATGTCAGTGTTAAAATGAAAAAATAAACTGACATTTTGTTTTGTATTAGATTACATAAGCAACTGTACATACAGTATATGTGATAAATATGTGTGCATAAAATAAGATTATGATTTAATGTATATTGTCAAACAATTCATTTCTCATAATAGTCCCTGTAAATAGTGCTGTGTTCTTATCTTGAGACAATTATCAAGAGCCTTACACTTGGTTTAAAAAACATGTAGGTCCAAAAACTAAGCTTGCTAGGGGATCTGGGTTATACGGTGGCCCTGAAATGCAAGTAAAAACAGCATTTCAGAAAACACCACAGCATTTCAGAAAACACCACAGTATTTGTAGAAAAGGCCCCAAAGTTATAGTTATTGATATATATATATATATTATTTAGGGCTGTCAAACGATTACACATTTTAATCAGATTAATCACAGTTTAAAAATTAATTAATCATGATTAATCACCATTCGAACTATTTTCCAAAATATGCCATTTATTTATGTATATTGTTGTGGGAATGGAAAGAAGGCGGATATATCCATTTAACATACAGTATGTTTATTATAACATTTTCTGTGTGTCAAAATGAAAGACAACCCACACACCTATCAATCATCAAACCGTGGGGTCTTAATTCATTACGTGTTGATTTCTATCAACGGGGGAGTACTTCAGGAAAGTCGACAGAGGGGGGGGCGGCGGCTCGTGGAGTACTTCTTGACCACAGAGTGTGAACGTTGTGATCAGCTGTTTTAGCGCAGTTCTCCAGTGAAGGGGGGGGAGTCTCCCTCCGCAGCCGGTTGGCGTAGTTTTGGCACAAGTCCGTTGTACAGACCGACGTTAACAGCAGCCCTGTCTGTGCACACGGAGACCGACTCTGTCGTCCGGTGATCTAACCGTCTTCTGGAAAAGCTTCACAAGTACGTCGGTACGCAAATGCGCTTTGTGACACAAGTGACGGTACGCATTTCAGATTACGCACATAACCTGCGTACCAGTTATGTGCACCCCTGTACTACAGCAAAAGTATTCTCCGTCTGGACTTCCTGCAACAACACCACGCCGTTATCAAAGATGTTCTATTGAGAAGACGATCACTACGTGACAAAAGTTTTCAAAACCGTGGCTACTGAAATCAATCTTACTAACTGCTGTCTGTGCAATTTACTCCGCGCGAGTTGGCAGACTTTATTTTGCTTACTTTAACATCATTTTTCATGGTGGGGCTAAGCCATTTCTTGGTATGGGTGTAGCCTACCCCAGCCATACCCTGGCGCTGCCACTGGTGGCACGTATGGGGCAGGCCATTCTGCACATGCGTTGAATGCGTTAAATATTTTAACGCAATTAATTCAAAAAATTAATTACCGCCGTTAACGCGATAATTTTGACAGCACTAATATTATTTTATTATACAGAGTTGATACCTGTTAAGTTGTGCCTTCATAGTGGGGAGGGGCTAACCCACGTGTTTTGGGTGACGTCACACATCAGAGGGTAATGTGCGTCGGTCGTTGCAGGAAACTTATGCCGTCTTAAGTTTCGTATTGTGTGCGTAAATTAACGTGAGTGTTTGTCCACAGTGGTGCCTGTTATGTTGCTCTACACTTCATTATTATTGTGATAACTTCTGTGCCGATGGGGCTTAATGCAGAGTCTCCGTGCTCATGTGATCGGTGCATGCTGCGTGCATGTTTATTATGGCTGCTCATTTATGGCGTTATATTTGTGCCTCTATCCTGAGCACGCAATGAAACATGTTGAGCATAGAAAATGCTATTGAGCGCGCACTTGAACATTTTTTAGCACAGAGAAATATATTTTCTCTCATAAAACTCCTGCTCCGTGCGCAAGCAGACCGCTGCACGCGCTCTCTCTCCTCCGCTCGCTCGACCTCTCCAGCCTGTGCGCGCTCAGCTTTGCCTGCGCTCACTCAAGTTGTCACAGCTTTACAAATGTGCCACAAAACCAACCAATCGGAGAACTCGAGAAGGTCAATTCTGATTGGCTGGTCGTCTCCAATCATATCTTCTATCTGAGATGAGAGAGGGATTTTCGGTTGCCATCAGGCTGTTGACGTTCTTATTACACATCCATCGTTGACATTTACAGGAGTATTGACGAGATCGATAGGATCGACAAGATCAACTAGATCGACTAGATACTGCTAATCCTATCACCACTACAAGCAACAGTTACAAGCTACAAAACAGCCACAAGCTACGCTACAAGCCACAAGCTACGCTAGCCGCAAGCTAGTCTGTACAAGATACGCTACAAGCTACGCTGAAAGCTGTAAGTAAGCCACGGAACACCAAGAGAAAACACCATGCCTGGAGATCAGCTGTGGCTGAACCACATCTAACCAAGCCCTGTAACTGACTGCCTTGTGGACACGATAAGAAGAAGATTTACAGGACATGACAGACTCGAATGAAGAGAATAGTACGCCACAGTGTCAGGTGAGTTAATACATTTCTAGTTTTCTGATATCACGTTATTGTTTGCAATGCCTGAGTTTGCTAGCCGGCAACATAGCTATAGGGGTAGTTTAAACAAACAGCTAACAAACCGTAGCCTACATATGTACATGAACCCTTCTGAGGTATTGATTACTTGCTGTAAGCATTAGAGGTGGCAGAATGACAAAACATGTTTTTCTCTCTATCACAATTTTGGGTTGACCAGAACCTGGACCAACTTCTGTTTCCTGTTCTACAATGGGCATAGAGCTTGCGTTAATTTTCAACCGGACAACTAAACAGATTAGGCTAGAATACCGGAAAAGTTAGCAACACACGTTATCCATGAACAGCCTATTAATCCAACGTTGTGGAATTAGAGAAAAGGGGCTTCTTAACGTGCTTTTATCCGGGGTGGAGGGAGTTACATATTAGTTCAATATAACATTGGGGCGTGTGATTGATATGGATTTAGAGTAGATATTTGAGACTTCTAAACAGTAAACAAAAACGTAACTTATGGGTGAGTGTTTTTATCACAGCCATATTGTCCTTGTGATTCTGTTGATTATTACCTGTCTGTATTATGTTGCAGCTGAGCTGATTTTGGATTGATGGCAAAGGGAGAGGGACTTAAGTGAGAGTGAAAACACAAGGTAAGTTTAAAATAGGTCAGCAATTTCCCATCCTATAGGTTGCTAGATGTATCTAACCCTTTCTCCTGTCTTTGTCTCCCTCTTTCAGCACAAGAACCCCAGGGGGATTCAATGGAGCCTGAATACCCACTGAGACCCTGACCCTGAGTCTCAGCTCTCAGAGCTTTGCAAGCCTCTCCCTGTTCCTTATTTTTGATTAAACAGACGTTAAGCTTCCCTATGGTGTGGTCTTTGTTTAGTGAAAATATGATTACCTCACATGTTGTTGCTGTTGTTGTCTTTTGTGATAGTTAAATTAAATAGCCAGACATTCTTTCCTCCTCTCTGTCAGTGGGGAAACCTTACATTCATACTCCTTTCTCTGAGCGCTTGGAGCATCCCCAGGCAGCACAGCAAACCATGGGGGAGACGATATGCCAGGACAACAGAGGAAAAGGCACAGACAAACTGCATGATATACTATTCAATGTGTATTGAATTCCATTTATTTACAATGGATGTTCCTAAAACAACACATGTAACATCATCATCATGCTGCTGCTGCTGCTAGCCCTTTGACTCATTGTGCTGTCAGTTGACAATCATTGATAGGCACCTGTGGGTCTCCTGTCCTTTCTGAAAGTCATAAAGATTACATTAGTACTTTAGATTACTTAGGTCCTCAATTACCAGGGGATTACTGAAACCACCATGAATTAAAGAAATGGTAGAAATTATTCTAATCTGAATTTTGAAACCTTCCTTCCCATCCCCTCCCTCTAAATATATCAATAATCATTAGAAAGTGATGCTCCTGACTACCATATGAGTTTAAGAAGATAATATTTGTTTTAAAGAATTCAAAGCAATAAACAACAGCAACAGGCTCTGTAACAAAGGCAACGTTAGCCTAACATGTATATGTTAACAGGTAAGATAGCTGTTCACACTATGTATATTTTCTACTTTTTGTAATGCTATGTTATTTCTATTTAAGATGTTTACATTTTCGATTGTTTAATTCTAGTCTTTTAACTGTCTAATGTACAATGCCTTGATGTAACTACATACACATATCGATATGTTGTATACATATTGCAAATCAAAACCTTTATTGACCACTAATTAGCAAAAATTGCATTTCTATCCTATTATTAATGCATTCAAATCGTGATTCAAATGGCCCGCCACGAACTTCCGGAAACTTTCTGAGTCTCTGAACCACGTGACGATCAAGCATTTTGGACTTCCGCTGTCGCAACTCTTCTCTCTACATGGCGCTGGACCAGCCAATCAGAATTGACCTTCTCGAGTTCACCGATTGGTTGGTTTTGTGGCACATTGAGCGAGCGCAGGCAAAGCTGAGCGCGCACAGGCTAGAGAGGTCGAGCGAGCGAGGGAGAGAGAGCGCGTGCAGCGGTCTGCTTGCGCACGGAGCAGGAGTTTTATGAGAGAAAATATATTTCTCTGTGCTCAAAAATGTTCAAGTGCGCGCTCAATAGCATTTGCTATGCTCAACATGTTTCATTGCGTGCTCAGGATAGAGGCACAAATATAACGCCATACTCATTAAGTCACTCGTCAAGTAAGTCGGCACTCCTGTCTCAAAGTTAGGGGTACATACACCGTGTTGAGTGGCACAGATATATTATTAATGTAATAGGATGTAGTTTATGTGGATAAATGTTTATGTGGCGTTAGAGGTGAGATATTATGTGTTAACAGTTCATTTATTGCTCCGCTAGTCGGCTACCGGAAGTAGCATGTCTGTAGCGTTTCACAATAAGAGCATCGGCTGCCGCTTCCCGCCAACCGGAAGTGGAACGTTATTCATTAGCGGTAGCTTAACTTTGAATCTCTGTGTTGCCTGGTAAAGAGTGTTTGACATTATATGTTAATGTGTTTATGATTATAAGAGAAGGGAGACATGTTGTTTTATAGCTTGTCTAGATTATTATTTCTACAGGGTTTGGCATGTATATTATTTATGTATGCATAAGTTGTAATTCCCTCGAAGCACAGGCAAGTGGCTTTCTCATTACGGGTTTATTCCTCCGAATCCACCGTGAAAACTACACAAACAAACAGTATAAATGACAAACATAGTTTCGTGTTAGACACACGAAATGCATGCAAAAAATCCCCAAGCTTCAGATACGCCCACCTCCAAGCGTCAACGCACGCTGCTGTTACCTCATTCACACCAACGGTGTTTCAGGGCCGGTTCGGAGCTGGAGCTTGAAAAGCACCGGGTTTTCCTCTGCACACCGCAGCGGAGCAGCCTCTTATACCTCATTCACACCAACGCAACTCCGGTTCAAGCTCCGTGCTAGAGCTTTTCAGGTTCAGAACCGGTTCTTCGGTTTAGCGGAGGCTCTTTTCACACCGCCCAGAGTCAGACTGGTGCTGCGTCATTGCGTCATGACGTAACCGTTTGCGTGCCTGCTTCATTAAGCCAAACCGCGCGGAAACCCCTCACAGCTGACACCGACAACAACAACAATGGCCGATTGTGCTCCAGCTTCCTCTGTACCTCTTCAGAAGACCAGATTCCCAGTAGGTAGCTGGTCTCTTCAGTGGACCACTGCTGCTTGTTAAGTTTCTCCATCGTTGTGTTCAAGCTGGATAAAACGCGGGCTTCTTGTTGTTGTTCAGGAGTTGATCCCGCCCCTGCCCCCGCCTCGACGTAAGCGTGACGTATGTGGTGCTTTTGCTCTGGCCGGACAATTTTTTGGTGCTTGAAACGAACCGGATTCCGGAGCTAAGAGGCTGCTCCGCTGCGGTGTGAAGAGGAAAACCCGGTGCTTTTCAAGCTCCAGCTCCGAACCGGCCCCGAAACACCGTTGGTTATACCTCATTCACACCAACGCAACTCCAGTTCAAGCTTCGTGCTAGAGCTTTTTAGGTTCAGAACCAGTTCTTCGGTTTAGCTCTGGCTCTTTTCACACCGCCCAGAGTAATGCGTCGTTGCGTCATCGTTTGCGTCATGACGTAACCGTTTGCGTGCTTGCTTCATAAAGCCAAACCGCGCAGATGAAATCAGTTGCATTAATTTCTTATGGCTCTCTGCAGCTTTTCCGGAGTCATTTCTGTGGTTTAGTTATATTCTTATAAAAAAGTGTACTCGTGTCAATAAAGGTTTTTTTTAAAACACAACTGCTTCCGAGGTCGGTCTTATTTCTTAAGGTGGACTGAACCATGAGTGTGGAGTAATGTTGTATCTTTCATTTAAATGAACTGTAACCTTCACCCAGGTATGTAACAGCTGTTCTCAAATGAACACGTGAAGTAAAGTTTAATATTTATAGTTTTATAGATTTATAATGAGTTATAATGAGAGGTGATCAATGTGAACGCTCAGGCTCCACCTTAACACGCAGACACGTTGCTTCACCATGAGCAGAAACCTTTATATATACAGTCTGGCAGAAACTCTGAAACTCTTGTTAAGTTTCTCCATCGTTGTGTACAAACTGGATAAAACGCGGGCTTTTTGTTGTTGTTCAGGAGTTGATCTGTCTCTGCCCCTGCCCCCGCCTCGACGTAAGCGTGACGTATGTGGTGCTTTTGCTCTGGCCGGACAATTTTTTGGTGCTTGAAACTAACCGGATTCCGGCGTGCGTTGTCCATTCAAACGAAGTACACTAGATATAAACTCCCCAAACAGGCGAAAACCTACCAGTTTCACCCACTGTCTCTGCCACCTCCCCCCATGCCTGGCTCCTCCGGTTTGTATCCCTGTATGTAAAGAGGGACTGGTCATATAGTACCGGGTGATTCCCTACCGCCACGATAATTTTCTCCTCCATTTTTTGACATATGGGAAATAACTGCGGTCTGGCGGCCGATTTGCATACGCGGGATTTGATTGGCTGACGCCTCCATCGAGGCGGCAAAAGTAGAACATTGCTCTACTTTTGCAGCGAGCACCGCGAGAGAAGCTACGCTTTGCTCCCACAATGCAGTTCGGCGTATCCTGACGTCACCCCATTCAAAGTGAATGGGCAGAAGCGTTGAAGCGGCTGTCACTACCCGATCTGCAACTCTGCCCGATCTGCTGTGCGCATGTGCGAGATGGTCCGCCATATTGGACAACGCCGGACGGCAAACCAAGTAGGACAAAATTGACATCTAGACCGTCTGAACCATTCGCAAGTTTTTACATGTGACAAAATATGCATTGCGCATTCGCAAGTTTTTACATGTGACAAACGGTGATTTGCAGAGTTTTTACATGTGACAAACGGTGATTTGCATTGCATCTGACAGAATGAAGACTTTAGTGTTTTACAACAATTTGAGAGAATACATGTCTGAAAGTGAATTTCACACAGACCTCTCTAAAAATGAGCGAGATCAAATGCGCCGTGCATCATCGAACTTTACAGTAAAAGGTAATTAATTCTCATTCTCCTGTTATTTTGTGTTGTGACTAACTGATCAGTTACTTAGCTCTGTCCCAAGTTTTGTATTGTATTTGTATTCTATTGTATTTGTATTGCCTTTCTAAATGAAATAATACTATACAAAAAAATATTTAATTCAATATTATAATATTATTTATTATTTTATTATTATTTATAATATAATAATTGTATTCCTGAATGACCCCTTTTTTATGTTTGTGTTTCTGTTCAAAATGCCCTCAAATTTTGTGAATTGATGTGATGAACATTGAAGTGAATGTGCCTTGTTATTGTGAATTTCACCTAATAGTTAAATAAAAATGTTTAAGTTACTAAGCTCTTTTTTTTGTAGATGGCCGGTTGTTCTATATTGGTTCCAACCAGCAGTACATGCGTTTTGGTAATCTTGTCCGAGGAGGAAAAGCTGTCTGCCCTCACAGAGTGCCACGATAACGCTGGAACAGGCAACCACAATGGTTTGAGAGGCACCAGAAACAGAGTCATTGCTGGCTACTACTGGTCAACTATTACAACTGACATTACTAACTGGGTAAGTTATGGTTGTAATTTGTTCTGAAGCATGTTATATACATTTTAAATGGTCCTGAAGCATTTGATATATATATATATATATAATTTATTGTGTTATATAATTCCATATGAATAAATAATATTACATGCAAATGACATTTCCTGTAGGATGCTGAACTCTCTCCCACCTCTCCCCTCTGCCCCCATTGGACCTGGATCTTAACACCCCCCCCACCCACACACACACACAATATATGTATTGCTGTGCCTTCTTATTTGCTCGTATTATGATGGGATATGGTTTAATTTAGTAAATGGTTGTGTGTGAAAAATGTATATCTCTAAAATGTGTGTTGGTGTATGATCACATTTGTATATGAAAATGTCTGAAGTTCATAAAAACATTCTCAGTGTTCAAGTCAATCACTGCAAAGGGTGACGATATGGCAGAAGGTGCTATATATATATATATATATATGGAATTGTGTATTTACCACAATTCCAAAGCTGGTAAGGACTCTTTCAAATTTAGCAATAATAGTCTGAAGAAAAGGACTGATAACAGAGATTTGCCCTAATATGTATTCAGTATGATAGGCTCTGTCTTAACCCCAAATAATAAAACACAAAAGTCTTCATTCTGTCAGATGCAAAAGTCTTCATTCTGTCAGATGCAATGCAAATCACCGTTTGTCACATGTAAAAACTCGCGAATGCGCAATGCATATTTTGTCACATGTAAAAACTTGCGAATGGTTCGACGGTCTAGATGTCAATTTTGTCCTACTTGGTTTGCCGTCCGGCGTTGTCCTAGATGGCGGACCATCTCGCACATGCGCACAGCAGATCGGGCAGAGCTGCAGATCGGGTAGTGACGGCCCGTCCACACAGCGGCGTGCGTTGACGCTCGTCGGTGGGCGTGTCTGACACTCGACCAACAACCAATCACATGAATCTCCCGCCCCTGACACACAAGCAGCGGTTTGATTGGCTAGAGCTTGTACTGGCATATGATTCGATTGGTTGACGCTTCTGCCGAGGCGTCAAAAGTTGAACATTGCTCAACTTTTGCAGCGAGCCACGCCAGCAACGCTCCGCGTCGCTTCCCACGATGCAGTTCGGCTAAAAGTGACGTCACCCCATTCAAAGTGAATAGGCAGAAGCGTTGGAAGCTTCAACGCACGCCGCTGTGTGGACGGGCCGTGAGACAGCGGCAACGCATGCCGCCGTGTGTAGGGGCCGTTAACTCACGCGAGAACAGCATAACGAGACGTGAGCTTGGACTTCAAAATAAAAGACTAAATATTGCACGCATGAAACATTACAACAATAATAATTAGTACACTTAGAAAATACACATTACAGTTAAATTATGAACATGTAAAGGCTGCACTTACATAAGTTATCTTATATTGATTGTATTTTGTTTATTTCCCTTGTAGGAAAACCACACTCACACACACAGACAAATATCTGTATGTCTGCCTAAATAAGTAAATAAGTCAAACCTCATCGTAGCTCCTCATTTCCTCTATTCTGGACCTTTGGCCTGAAGTGGTGTTCTGACCGACACACCTGGGTGAACCTAGTGATAGACACAAAACTAGTGCCAACACTGAGTTATCTCTGTATGAGCTGTACTGTACTGTACCCAATATACAAGCTGTTAATAAACTTTTCAATCAATCAATCAATCAATCTCTAACTCTCCACTACAGTATTTCACAAAACACCACAGCATTTCAGAAAACACCACAGTATTTCACAAAACACTACAGCATTTCAGGAAACACTACAACATTTGATAAAACACCACAGCATTTCACAAAACGTCACATTATTTCAGAAAACACCACAGCATTTAAACTTATACGGAAAGGGTATTCCTTTAGGGAGAACGCTGTGATTGGTAGTTTTTGCTGCCAGTCAAGAAATGACGGTTCATGATTGGTCAGCACCCGACAGCGCAACATGTCCCGAAACATCAGCCGTTAGCTGTTAGCACACAGAGCTCACAGCTCCTCATATCTGTTCAGAAACTGGACACAAGTTAAACATGAACACACCACAGACTGTCTATGTCATGGTGAATACAGTCGCTGCTTTATTTATGTCTGCAGCTACAGGTTAGTTTATCCTGATCGATTTCAGATTACATTTTAAAAGATTATTTTGCCTGCCGTCTTGTCTGCAGACTTGTCACAGCATTAATTCATGGTTTTTACTAAACTGGTATCAGTATGTTGTTACTTCGGCATCATTTTGAAACGTGTATTACAATTAAATCACGGTAAAATATGTTCATTTTGTTGTAGTCCACCATAGTATTTACATAAATATTAGCAGGGACGTACACAGACATTTGGAGGGGCTATTGCTCTAAACTGGAAAAAGTGCCTCCCCCCGAAAAAAAACACAAGACCTTTTGAAAATTGTAACTTGTTTTTAATGTAAAAGAAACCAAACGATTATTACATCAACTAAATTGAACAGTAATTCACATCTCATAACAAAATAAGCTAAGGCGACTACTTGCATTCGGTGACTTGATTTTAAAAATGAAAACCAGGGACATTTTTTGTTTTGCGGTCCATATCTCATTAAAATATCTAATGTTAGTAACTATTAAAGACAAAATGGGGACAATTCTGTTCTAATGTAGTTTGACCATGTGCAGTCCAGACATACTGATAAAATAGGGCTTCTAACTAATTACCTTAAATAAACTCACTAATTAATTAAACCAGTTCAATATGCATTATTTGTATTCTTATCATTCTTTATGAGCGCAGTAACGGTAAGGTATCTTATTACTTATTTATTAAGTATTCCATAACTTAATAACAGAGATGGTCAAACTAAAGTGGTAGAGACATGGCAGAAATCCTACAATGAAGTGGGACATTGAACTGTTCACCCATGAGAGGGCGATCAAGAAAAGAGAGCGAGCGGCCCCATTGAGGGAGTTTACAGATGAAAAGACACAGAAAGACAGAAGCAAAATAACAAGTAAGTTATATTTAGGTGTTTTTTTGTAAAAAACCGACGTATCAAGAGGAAGTAAAGTCCCCTGGTTTGTCCCTTATACCCTAACTGCCATGAGACAACTCAAAATCAAGTTTCCAAAATCCGACACCGAGGTGGTCTTAACGCACCGGCAGATGACAGCGCTGACAAAGTGTGTTTCCCGCAGCCAGACGCTACAATAATTGTGGGCTTATCATGTTGATTCGGCCACAACAGAAAAAAGAAAAAGAAATTCTCGCTCTCTCTCCAGAGGGGCAGGTCAGCCAAAAAGGCCAAACGGGCCGTTGCCCGGGCAACATTAGCCCGTACCTGTCCACGCATAGATATATAAACGGCTCAAGGGGGAGTCGCCAGCGTAGCTCACCGGTGGCCATCTTGCCACAGTCAACAACTACTGCTACAGCTGTTGTAAGGTGAGTGATCTGCACAAAAATACTCTTAACTCGCTGAAATGTTGACTGATTTACAAACGGTTTGGTTTATTATAAACGTTATTAACATGGCTATGATACAGGAGACAACAAGACATGTTGAAAAAGTTCATGATTAAAAGTTCATGATTATAATTATAAGTATGCAGTATCATAACTACATCTTTGATGTTTATAACAAACCAAACCGTTTGAAAATTGGTTGAAAATTGAGCAATCTACGGTTATTTAAATAGTGCACCATAGACTTAATGTTATGAATGAGCGAGCTGCCTGTGGCAAGATGGCCGCCATGTGGCAACGTCGGTCTCCATTGGCCAGCAGCGCGGGTGAATCATCTAGTGCAGGGGTACTCAGACTTTTTTGTTAAAGGTCCACTTGTGAATTTTATACAAGGTCAATGGTCCGGATCAATTTAGCGCGCTATGCATGGGGCCCCCTTGAGGGGGTTTCCCAACATGTTGTTGCAGTAAATTAAAGGGTGTTTCATGTTGTCGTTGCTGTGGACCTTCTTAATCTTTTTTTAGTATCTTTTATTTTTAAATTTATTTATTTATTTTATGTTTTGTGAGCTGAGCTGTTTGATTTTATATTTGATGTATCTCTCTGTACAGCACTTTGGTCTGGAGGTTTTAAAGTGCTATATAAATAAAGTTGGATTGGATTAATCTACTTTATTTGGGGGCCCCTGTATACACACCTACACACACATATTCAATATACATACAGTATGATGGCTTGAACTAGTGGGAGAAATGGCACTGTTTGTCTGTAGCCAATGCCTTGAACCTCTGCAAAAATGGCATTAGAAGCATTAGAAAGTCAAGGTAAACTTTATGGAGCTATTTCAGGGTCATAAGTTTTGATCATTCAAAAAAATAAAATGTATTTGAAAGTTCAAGTTTTTATCCTGAACTTTGAAAAATACAATGATGTATTCAAAATAAAAATAAGTATTTTAAATAATTTTTCAGGTTGAATATTATTTTGATTCAGTTCAGCAATTTTTTTGAATAAAATATTTATTTCAGATTTCACTTTTATACATATTTTGATATTTGAATCCTTGTTTTTTTCAGTTGCAGATTTTTCGTTTTCAGATTCAAAACAATTTTTTTTTTTTCAAATTTTTTTTTTCAGGTTTCACATTGCTTTTCACCTTCAGATCGTTTTTCGCTTTCAGATCTTTTTTTTTGCTTTCAGATCTTTTTTTCCGCTTTCAGATCTTTTTTTTCGCTTTCAGACTTTTGGCCCTGATGTTGCTTGAGGGGGGCGGGGCTTAGCAAAGAGTAGTTTGGCTTCCTGAGTGACAGGCCTCCCTCTGTCATGTTGCCTTCATGGATGTTAGGTAGCGCGAGAAATATACCTCAATACTTTCTATACACAATACTCCCGTGATTGGTGGTAAATAAAACTGATATCAGCGTCAAAGTTCCGTTAAGCGAGCTGTTGAGCATCGTAGTTGGCAAATATCAAGGTATAAGAGCAATAAACTGTGCTAGAATGTGAAATTACGTATCCTCAACGAGCCAGCAGGTTGTTCTAGTGTACCTGACGCCATCCCCCGCTGTCTCACGGAGAGATACCGCAGGTCCTTCCTTCCTGCAGCGGTCAGACTATAGAACCAGCACAGCCCCTAGACGTCCCACAGGGGATACATTTACATTGTTACAGCAGAGAAGAGCCAAAGACAGCTTAATGTTACCTAAAGCATGCATAAAAAAAGTATTAAAGATTAAAAAAAGAAATTATATTTTTATAAAGTTACACATTTTACATAATACACACCCTGTAACAGTTCTGCGGATTTAGCAGCCAGGTATATATTGCACAGTTTTTAACGGCATATATATATTGCACATATTGCAAATATTGCACATAGTTGTTATTTATCAACAAGAGGTGTTATAGTCTGTGTTGTTTTGTGCGGGGTCTAAAGGTATTCTGATTCTGATCGCAAAAACTGGGGTTACGTACTGTAACCCAGCTTCTATGAGTATAGGCGCAGCCCTCTAAGGCTATCGCTAGTGTGCAGCACTGACAGACTTAATCCACGCCCACCTATGACGTGGGCCCCACCTCCGGCCTTACTTCCGTATAAATAGGAAGTAGGCCCGTCCAACTGCTCCCACACAAACAGCTTTTC